CTCAATTTCGGTTCCTTTCACCATCTTTACCCGTCGTTTCCCACCAGCGCCAATCTCCGGGCTCTGCTAACCAGCTAGCGTCTTTTGGGTAACGTCGCCGTCGGCGTTGGCCGTTGGCCGTTGGCGTTGGCGCTGCTACTGCTGTTGCTGCTGCGAAGTACCGTTACTTTGATTTGAGTCTGCGGCGGTGGAAAGCTAGGTTGGCTGTTTGTATGGGATTTTGAAAAGTCTCGCTTTCTTGACAAAATGTAAATCATCTGGAGCGTCGAACGCGTTGGGATTGTCAGACGGCAAGTTCTATCAGTGGAAAAATCTGATCCAAAGCGCGGCAACAGCGCTCATCCTCTAGCTAACCTCAGCATCCCAACGGTGCGACAACATCAACAGTCCAACGCAGGAAAAAGGGAAAGACGGCCCTTTTCGTCTAACCATCTCTGTCAAGTCCTACAATACCTTCAATCGTCTCAACCTACTCATAAACCACACGATTCACCAGCGTGCCAATGCCCTCAATCTCCACTCTCATGTCATCGCCATGCTTGAGCACAACCTTTGGATCCCGCATGATCCCCACGCCCGGGCCCGTCCCCGTCATGATAACCGTACCCCTCTCGAGCGTGGTGCCCTGGCTCAAAAAGCTAATCTGCTTAGCGATGCCAAAGATCATCTCACGCGTATTCGAGTCCTGCACGGCGGCACCGTTGTGCAGCGCGCGGATGCGCAGGGCGCCGGCATCGGGGGCGGGCAGGGCGTGCGGCGCGACGAGGACGGGCCCGACGGGCGCGCTGCCGTCGAAGCCCTTGCTGAAGCTCCACTGGCTCGTCGCGAACTGCTGCGTGCGCGCCGACACGTCGTTGCCGGCGGTATAGGCCAGCACGTGCTCGAGGGCCTTGGACTCGGGTATGTCGCGGCCTTCCTTGCCGATGACGACGGTCAGCTCGGCCTCGTAGTCCGACGTGCCGTCCTGCGCCAGTTTGGGGACGGGGATGGCCGACGGGTGCGGCCCGTTGATGGCGGTGCGCGGTTTGATGAAGAGAATGGGGACGGTGGGGATCGCCATGTTGGCTTCGCGGGCGTGGTCGCGGTAGTTGAGGCCCATGCAGCGGATTAGTGGGATGTCGGTTGGTTGGAGTGGGGGAAGGAGCTGGAGGTGACGATTGTGTTAGTTGGGTTGTGCAGAAGGAGTGATTTACGAGAATGGCTGCGCCGAAGGAGAAAAAGAGAGGAGGGGGAAAAAAAATATTTTTGACAAAAGAAGAAGACAAGATGATCTTGACGCCGTAGATCAAATCCATTGGCGTTCATTGAAACGGCCACAATCCGCACGCACAGCGTTTCCTCAACTTCCTTGCTCTTCAAAACCATCCCCCCACCACAATAAATCACAGAACAGCCATCGCACTCACCGTCTGCACAGTCAACTCCCTCTCCCCAACAATACCATCATACAGGCCGCCCGTTACCTCCTTAACCCTAACCTCCTCTTTCCCCTCGTACGTCGCCAGCCCGACGTCCGGATACCGCGCCGCGTCAACCTGGCCGTAGTGCGCCAGGCCGTCCTCCTTGGCCACGAAGCGGATCAGGTGCGTCCAGTTGCCCATTTTGCGGTTTGAGTTTTGGGCTTTGCTGCTGCTGCTGCTGCTGCTGCTGCTACTGGGTGGTGAAAGAGATGTGGCGCAAATGGTCAATTGGCGCCGGGAAAAAGATTGAGCTGGTGTTGGTGTAGGCCGGCGAAGCGCAGGTGAGTTGGCGGCGGCGCGATTGTACGTGTATTCGGGAAGGGCGGGGTGGTGGGAGGCAAGATTCGTCCAGTGGATTGAGGTAACGGGATCGGAATGAGGCGCGGATACAATGAGGGGACGTCGACGTGGGGTAAGCAGAGTGACAGCGTGGTGGAGAGGGGACGGGAGCGGGGTCGAAGGTCTGAGTTTCAACAATGCTTGCTTACCAAGCTTGGGAGGAAGACTGCGGTGGGCCAGTTACCGACGGACCAGATGGCAGCACCAGGGAGTTGCAGGCCGTGCTTGATCTGCTCACCATTGCTTTCAACGAGTATGCCGACTACGAGGGCGAATACAGCGGCCACCTCTTCTCCTTCAGCAGCACGATTTGGGGTGACGATGCCGTCGTCGGTCAGTGGACGGAGGCCAGCTGCACGTGGGCATTGTCGCGGCTGCGGCGGGTGCCAGGGAGTCAGTGACTCTTGCCACATGATGATGAAGATGGAACGGGGACACATACATGTACTCCAGCTGCTCAAGTTGAGCCTTTGATCAATTCAACGTTGCTGAGGTGGCTTTCCACCAACGGAACGAATCGGATGTGTACAAGACCGCTTTCAATACAAAGTCCTTGGATATCGAATGCGTTGGAAGAGCTTTGAGGGGTCTAAACTCTCTTGGTACAAGTCAAATCAAGTCACACAGCGAGCCGCGATACGAAAAGCCAAAAAGAAGCTGCAGAACGGGATCCTCCCCATGATAAGCGTATGGACAGGATACTCTCAGGCCGGTGTTCAGCAATCTCGAGGAAAAAACAAGAGCAGAACGGGAGAATGGGGGGAGAATGTGTTAATTTTGGCACATTCATTTAGCCCGGCTAATGAGGCTGCCAAATTCCCCTTACTACATCCCTTACTCAGGCGTAGCCTCTTAAAAATATACATAGATTTAACATTAGAGACTAGAGTGAAAAACCTAGAAGCTAGACATTTTAACCAGTTATCTAACTAGAAGTTTGAAAAGAAAATTCTAGGAGAGTATGAGCGCTAGTAAATCATGTAGTCTATTTAATTCTGACTTTACTATCTCATTCCCGTGTTAAAGAAGGACAGAACTAAAGACCGGCTAAGATTATAGTAAGTCTATTAGAAGTAAGAAGTAATGAGCCTGCTCATAGCTGTATTTAGCTAACTTGAATCCCTAACTGCTTACTGAAATGGAATCTCTTCTAGGGGTTAAGTCAACAGACTGTTCTTTCAACGCTATACCATTAAATAAATCGATCGCTATTCAGTCAATCCAACATGCTTCTCATTAACAATCCCCTCTTCATCCTCCTATCCTTCCTCTGGCTCGCCATCGCCTCTCCTATTACGCCAAATCCGCGCCAATGCGAGGGGCTGGTCTCGCAACCTGGGCAAGGCACAGTAAAGAACTACGCGGGCTCAAGTATCACGGTCTTTGGCTTGGTTGACATCAAAATTGAGCGGACGCGGGGGTATGCCAAGCCGCCCGGCTCCAAAATCATATACCACGGGCCAGACTTGCGTATTCACAACCGGGCCTGCAACCCCGTCAAGGTCACCTGCGCTTTATCGGCGGACGGGAACTCTGCACGCGTCGTTACATTTAAGCCCCGCGAGCACGATAGAATTATATATCCCATTGAGGTGCCGGTCGGCGATACGCTGTATTTCACGGTCGAATCGGGTTGAGGGGAGGGAGAGGGATGGAGAGAGGGGAGGGAGAGGGATGGAGAGAGGGGAGGGAGAGGGATGGAGCGAATGGGAGTGGTTAGGAGTGGTAGTAGCTTATGGTTAGGGGTAGGCGCCGCTAGTTGGTAAGTGTAGCTCGTGGGTAGGCGCAGCAGATTGCCACTAACTAATATGGGTGCTCAGGTGGCGGCTAACTATGCCGTGTTCTTAAGGTGGGGAGGGAGAAGCGGAGGGGGGGAGGAGGGTAGTTCAATGTTTCCTAAGATGTGTAGGACACGATTAAAAAGAAGGGCATATCTAGCTAGTATCGGATAGTAACTTCGAATTTAAATACTTTTTTTTTTAAAAAAAAAATTCTTATCCAATCGCCTCTCGCCTCTAGCGAAGTAGAAACGTAGGGAATGACCAGCCCTCAATTCACTCTTCGTGCATGTAGCCAGTCAGCCTTTAAAAGACGAAGACACCATCAACCTAACAACGCTAGGCGATTCCTCGCATCCTAAGCCCTCACTCCGTCAAAAACACCCCTCCTCTCCTTTCCGCGTATTCGAGAAACGAGACATTATCTTAAAACACAAAGATCCTTACCGGCCGCACGTTGACATGTGAGCTACTAGGCCAGCATATCAGCCCTCCCTCGCTAGAAGAGACCAATGGACAAACTATCCTGCCGCGACACTAATGCACTGATAATGAACCAAATCACACAGGCTACCTAGACGCCGCTACTAGCCTATTCAGGCAGACATGGCGCGCGTTCCCGTCGTGAAGTCTCAGACATTGGCGGCGCTAACGGCTTCCGGCTGTGCTTGCGGCTCGCGCCGCACAACAACATCCATCCTCCTCCTCCTCCTCCTCTTGGTTTCTGGCAATGATTCGTGGGGGTGGTTTGCGACTTTGTCTCGGCAGATGCGGCTACGGCGCGGATTTTGTGGGTGAGCTGTCGCGGAAGGGGGGTTACCATGACGTTTTTTGTGGGTTCTCGCCCGCGTCGCTGCGTAGTTATATATGTTTTTTCGCTGCGCGTTGGGTCCTTTGCTCTCAAGAGCGAGCGCAGTTGGTGCGTTTTGTTTGTGCTGCCGATGCGTGGTGTTGGCGGAGATCTAGTGGTGAGGTGGTTGCGAGACTTATAATTAGTGTGTCATTACTTGCTTCAGTTTTGGAGAGGACGGTTTTTTTTTTTTTTTTTTCAATGTGTTTGAGAGGTGAATGGCTCGTTGAGTTTGAGCTTGTGGAGAGGGTAGAGTAGGAGTTGAGGTTGTTGAACTCTGCCTCTTCATTGCGACGCAGATAGACCTTCAAGGTGAGTAATGATGTAGGCTCCTTATTCCTCTTCCCCGAGACTCGAACCGGGACAGAACCTTCGTGGGTCTACTGAACGCTTTTTCTTGTGGTCGACTCACGACGTTTGCTCTTCTGCCACGAAAGTCACGACATCTTCCAAGGCACAACAACGATTCAAGGCGAAATGCCTTTGGAGTGACCCACTGACCACAGTCCTTCTGTACAAAAGATGATGGTCCACCATGCTTGATGGTCGAGGGATCAAAAAGGCAAAAAGAGATGCAGCTTCTGTGGATCGAACACAGTACCTCCAGATACCGCACAGGGCTGATGCTACGAAAGTAGATCGAGAAACCGAAGTGAGACTTCAGTCTGGCGCTCTCCCAAGTGAGCTAAAGCTGCAATTAATGATCAATCACGTGGGTAAATGCATTTATGAATTCATATAGCAGGCAAAAACCTTGTTTCGCTCTCGTGACCATCGCTTTTTGGACGGTACCTGGCTACAATTGGCTTACCTGAGACAATGGCAGCGAATTCTGTTTGGGAATTATCTTGAAAAATGATGGTGGCTGAAGAAAGTGTTTCGAACAAGTCTGAGATTTTGGTCCAGGCGAGTGGATTTTTGTGGCACAGCAGCAGCGGAACAGAAAAGAAAAAAAAAAAAACTGGAGAGGCCAAGAGGCGGTGATAAGAAATCTGTCAGAATGACCATCAATGGCCCCAATGCCCCACGACCAAGACATGGTCTAAGAAAATACTGATAGTCCGGCTGGGGGCGACGGCCTCAAAGGATTCAGCAGGTGATGGTTGTGGCGCCCCACCTAAGGGGCACAGGGGGCTGCGGGGAACATGGCGTAGTGGCGCGCGTCTTCCCAGCGATCTACCATTGTCAACTTCACGGTTCACCACATCTCCGCTGTCTCTCTTCTGAGTGCTAACCGCTCCCATCCGCCGTCCAATTCAGGCCCCCATGCGAAAATGCTGTACGCAACAATGCGCAAATCCAAAACATCTGCATGCCGAGCTGAAACTAGCCGCTTGGCCACAACACAACGCCCGCACATCGACTCGGTCCGCGTCACTGTAACGACGCAGATTGGATGTGGCCGAGCGCAGAACATACTCCCGCTCGCCTCTCTGCAGCTCTGGCTCTTGTTCCCGTCTCGGGCGCTTGTCCGGTGACGCGGCGAGCCTCCAGCCTTGGGCAAACCCACAGTTGCCGACGGCTTCGTCTTGTTGCATAAATTACAGCTGCTGATTCGTGCTCTCTTCTTGCGTGTACCGCCCCCGTGCAGAAAAAGGACTTGGTACCTGCGCCACTTGGCCCACATGCGTCGTCACCGCATCATCAGCTTTGTGTGGGATTGCCAAGGTAAGATGAAGATTCAATACAGTCCGTATCACGAGTGCCTACTGAGTTTGGGTATTAGGAGAAAACCACCCCCCCCAACCGCTTTCTTCTTTTGCCATGTCGCGTTCTTCCTCTCACCCTGCGCCATCCGCTTCGACATGCGGCTGATCCTCGCCGCCCTTCCAGCCCTTGCGAGCGCCCTCCCGTCGCCCGAGTTCAATTCTCTTTGGTACGATCAGGGCCTGTTCGGCGCCTACCCGTCGCAAGACTATGTCTCCTTCGACTTGGCTTCACCCCGGGTGAACATCCTGTCATGGAGCGCACAATGCGACCCAGGCCACATCTTCCTCGAACCTCGCGGGAGGTCAGTGGCGAAACCTGGGCCAATGATTCTCGACGCTGAAGGCAATCTCGTATACATGGAGCAAAAGTTTGGAGAGGCCATGGACTTTCGCCCCCAGACCTACAAGGGCGAGGACTATCTGACATTCTGGTCCGGCACCGATGATGGGACGCATGGGAGGGGCTCTTACTACATGGTACGGCCGCTCTTGGGAAACTTGCTTTTTGGGAGCTAACGTGGGGAAGCTGAACTCTTCGTACGATGTGGCGCGGGTAGTGAATCCTACGAATGGGCTCGAAGGCGACCTCCATGAATTTGAAATCACCCCCAACGGCACTGCGCTCATGTCCATCTACGAAATCATTCCGGCCGACCTCTCCTCTGTTGGTGGACCCAAAGATGGATGGATCTACGATGGGCTGTTCCAAGAGATGGATGTTGAGACAGGCGAAGCTATCTTCCAGTGGCGAGCGTCCAGCTACTACCACGTCAATGACTCTTTCGCGCCGTTGAAAAAGAAGGGCAAGAGTAAGGACGATGCATGGGACTATTTTCACATCAACAGCGTAGACAAGGACTCTGATGGCAACTACTACATCTCGTCTCGCTACATGCACACCATTACCTGCATTGGACCCGACGGTCAGGTCCGATGGAAACTTGGGGGGCACGGCAGCGACTTTACCGACCTGTCGCAGGGAGCAGCCTCGAATTTCTCATGGCAACATCATATGCGCTATTTTGAAAACGACTCTTTGACGATTTTCGACAATGGTGCATACGATAACAACTACTATACCGCCGACTACAGCCGTGGACTTTACATTCAACTCGACTTGGCCAACATGACTGCAACCCTTCTCGCTGACTACGTCAGCCCTGCCCACATTCTCGCGCATTCGCAAGGATCGATTCAGCTTCTCGACAATGGCAATGCCTTTGTTGGCTGGGGACACTCGGCCGCTTTTACGGAATTCAAACGCGACGGAGAGGTGCTGTGCGACATGCACTTTGGAAGCTCTGCATTTTTCGGCTGGGGCTGGATAAAATCGTATCGCGCATTCAAAGGCCATTGGGTGGGGCGGCCAACTTGGTCTCCCAGCATCGCAAGACGAAAGAGCAAGGTATTTGTGAGCTGGAATGGTGCAACCGAAGTCAAGAAGTGGACTTTGCAGGCGGCTGCAGATACCGACGGCAACTTCACAGACATTAGCACAGTGGAAAAGGTGGGATTCGAAAGCAGTTTCAATCTTGCGGGGAAACCCGGGCATTTTCTCAGGGCAGCGGCACTGGACAAGAACGGTGAAGTCTTGGGATATTCACAAGTGCTGGATAGCCGTATGGGCCAGCTAGTAAGTTGACCACAGCCTTGCCCAGGATCAGTGTGCTTTACGAATCGAGTGCTAACCCCCCATGGGTAGGTTGATGGCCCGTTTTCGCCAATGACTGACGACGACCTCGTATTCCTCCAATTCTTACTCGGACTACTTGCCTCCGGAACCCTCGGACTCATAGTATGGAACCTCTACCCATCGTTGAGACCACGACGCTTCAAGCGTTTCTGAGCCTTTCCTGCCCATCCGCGGCTGAAAGGCGTCCGTGTTGAGGCAGACTGGTCCAGTGCCTCGCCTCGACACACACATACCTATCATATTCCTAAACAGCAACCATTCCTGCCAAAGACGTAGACATGACGACCTATCATGGGCGGAGTAAAAGGTTGGAGAATCAGTTAGTACCGTAATTTTCAGCATTCCTGGGCGTTTGCACCTTTATACCCTCCAATGGCAAGACGGGGATCAGTTTTCTACACCATCCTTATTACTTGCTGTACACGTCACGCACGCCGCTTTCTCTCTCGTCCTTACCACATGGAGACCGGGTTGTCCGACTCGCCTTGCTTATTAATAGCGCCCGCGCCGGGCCCTTGGCTTAGCTCAGCGGCACTCTGCTTAGTAGCTGGTTATCGACAAACCAGAACTATAGCTGTCGGGCTATTTGTCTCCTTTTACTTAATCCGAACACGATGAAATTTGTTCGAAAGCGATTGACAAAGATGGAGGAAAGCTTCAAACCCAGAATGGCAAAGCGGCATCAATGACCATACAAGGCAGGAAAAGAGACAAACACCAGACGACAGCCCGGTCCTAGCCCCAACTATCAACCAACGTGCATTAGTCCAATTGACCAAGACGGATTCGCACAGGGACGGCAGCGCTGCGTTCAACCGGTGAACCAATCCAAAGCCGCGCTGAATCAACTTCGCCCGTCACCCAATATTGCCCAGCCGCCCATGGGGGCTCATCTTCACCACCATCGGGGCAGCATTGCGCAACGCAAAAGCTTATTCCAACAAGACGTGCTTGTCTATGAATCTTGTATGCCGCGTTAGGCAGCCCGATTGAATGATTGAGACAGAAGAGAAGGCTTATAGGTCACGACCATTTTGTCTTCTTCGAGACCTGCCTGTTGCGGCAAAGTGCTCCCGCCATTGCAGGCTTCAACCCGCCCTCTAGCACTTGACCGCAATGGCTTGGCGCCACGAACATTGTTGACTGCGCGTTGCTGCTGTTGGGACTTTTGTAACCTTTTCCTGTTGAATGGAAGGGGCTTTAAGCGGTCTCCATCCTCCTCGATTTTTTCTAGAATAATCATGGTTTTTGTGCGGATAATGCCTTGCTTAGCACTACTTCTTTTTGCAGGGTTTGTCTCGAGCTTGACCCCTCCGCAGCCATTGGTGGCCAGGCAAATACCGGCGAGCCCCAACAATGTCAAGTCGTCGATTATCTCGCCTTCTGGTGTGACGATTCGATACAAAGAGCCAGGGAACGAGGGCACATGTGAAACGACGCCGGATGTGAGATCGTACGCTTTTCGTCAACGGGATCTAGATTGCCTCTCTGACCTACCTGCTCCAGGTACTCGGGATACATGGATTTGTCGCCAAAGTCGCACTCTTTTTTCTGGTTTTTCGAGTCGAGAAGAGACCCCGTGAATGACCAAATAACCTTGTGGTACGCTTTGACGGACCAGTTTTGAATGCTCCTACTGATTTCTCAAAGGCTGAATGGTGGCCCGGGATCTGACGCGTTGATTGGCCTTTTCTCAGGCAAGTCCACACAAAAGCAAAGCACGGAGCTGAATCTAATGGCTTCAGAACTCGGCCCTTGCAATGTCACCAAGGATAATCGGACCCTGCTGAGTCCGTACAGCTGGAACGAAGTGTCCAACTTACTCTTCATCTCGCAGCCTGTTGGCGTAGGCTTCTCGTACGCCGAGCAGGCTCCTGGATCGCTCCAGAACGAGACGGGCGAGTTCTTGAACGCCAGTCGCGCACCCGTCGAAGGAACGTATCCCGTGACTGGCCCAGACCTGGTCGATACGTCTGATCTCGCGGCTGCTTCTACATGGCACGTGTTGCAGGGTTTCTACAGCGCATTGCCGCAGTTGGCCTCTAACGTCAAGTCCAAGGAGTTTAACCTCTGGACAGAAAGGTGCACATCAACTCGACGCCCGTGATGTCTCTCGCATCACTGACCAAGATGCAGCTACGGCGGCCACTACGGCCCGTCCTTCTTCCAATACTTCTGCGAACACAACTGCAAGATCGCCAGCGGGCAAGAAAACGGCATCCAACTCAACCTCAACACGCTCGGCATCGGCAACGGCGTCATCGACGAGCTGATCCAAACGCCGCACTACCCC